ATTTAAGTAATTTTGTGGAGTTTAGGGGCAAAAGACCAAGTTGAATATTTTTGGTAGAATCGGGGAGCTAACCACCATAAATGAGCTATGGACCAATGCGAAACCCATTTTGCATTGGTCTTATCTAAACCCTAGCTTGGGGCTAGTAGGTTTTGGGGACCATCTACTTGAGTCTCCCAAAGGATCAAGGGACCAAAGTCAGGAAAAATTGGGTTTAAGGTTGTAAGTAATTATGGGTGAAAGTAAATTCAAGTGAGTGAAAATGAGTGACTTGGCCCCATACCAATACCAAGAGTCAACCCTAAGGGCAAGCAGTCCTTTGGTAACACATCTTTAGCTCCCCCATAACGACCCTACCTACTAAGTGCTAGAGGTTAGGAGCAATATGTGGAGCTTCATGATTAGCAAAACGGAGTGTAGAATTTCTAATGGAGAGGGTTCCTTTTCTATTCTTCTAAGAATAGTAAACATGAAAGTCCTATGGCTAAATCCTATGGCTAGAACTTAGGCTACTAAAAGGGAAAGACTAAACCTCAACCAAAAATGACGTCAACAAAAGGACCATCAATAGGTGCGGTGTGCTGGACAAGCACACCGCGCGTATTGGTGTTGACCGACGAGATCAAAAAAACCAATACAAACTTCTACCAATACAAACTTCTAAGTCAACAATACAAACTTCTAAGTCAATAGGCCTAAAAGAAGGTGTAGAATTGTGTGTGCTGTTTGTTTCCACTGAGGAATTAGCGTATGAATATTTGCTCGAAGTCAAGAATTAAGAACTCTAGCTAGGGACTAGAGAGTGGGTTTGAGTTATCAAGTTTCAGGTATTTCTAGAGGATGGGAATCATTATGTAAGTGCTGACCCCGGGGTGGGAATTGAAATTTAGGTATTAATTTCAGAAGAGTGTCAGAAGTTAGGGACTGGCCTCGAAAGGAAAGCAATCATAAGTTAAGGGTTGACTCCAAAATGAGATATGAAAGTTAAGGATCAATCTCAAGAGAGAGTCAGAAGTTATGGACTGACCACGAAGGGAAAGGAATAAGAAGCTAAGGACTAATTCCAAAATGAGAATTAAAAGTTAAGAATTAATCTCAAGACAGAGTCGGAAGTTAAGGACCAACCTCGAAAGGAAAGGAATCAGAAGTTAAGGACTGATTCCATAATGAGAATTGAAAGCTAAGGATCAATCTCAAGAGAGAGTCAAAAGTTATGGACCGACCTCAAAAGGAAAGGAATCAGAAGTTAAGGACTGATTCTGAAATGAGTGTTAAAAGTTAAGGATTAATCTCAAGAGAGAGTCGGAAGTTAAAGACCGACATCGAAAGGAAAGGAATCAGAAGTTAATGACTGATTCCAAAATGAGAATTGAAAGTTTAGGATCAATCCTAAGAGGCAGTCAGAAGTTAAGGACCAACATCAAAGAGAAAGGAATCAGAAGTTAAAAGTTTATTTCAAAATAAAAATTGAAAGTTAAGGTTGAATCTCAAGAGAGATTCAAAAGTTAAGGACTGACCTTGAAGGGAAAGGAACCATAAGTTAAGGATCGACTTCGAAGGGAAAGGAACCCGAAGTTAAGAATTAATTTGATTCCAAAACGAGAATTGAAAGTTAGGAGTCAATCTGAAGAGAGTGTCAGAAGTTAAAAACCGACCTCGAAAGGAAAGGAATCAGAAGTTAAGAAGTGGTTCCAAAATGAGAATTGAACATTAAGAATCAATCCCAAGAGAGACTCGGAAGTTAAGGACCAAACTCAAAAGGAAAGAAATCAGAAGTTAAGGATTGATTTTGAAATGAGATTTGAAAATTATGTATCAATCTCAAAAAGAGAATTAGAAGTTAGGGACTGATCTCAAAGCGAGTGAATCAAAAGTTAGGGACTGATTCCGAAAAGAGAATTCAGAATCAAGGATCAAATCTCAAAAAGAGGATTAAAATTTAGGGACCGACCTCAAAGCAAGGGAATGATAAGTTAAGGACTGATTTCAAAATGAGAATTGAAATTGCCTCGAAAGGAAAGCAATCATAAGTTAAGGGTTGACTCCAAAATGAGATATGAAAGTTAAGGATCAATCTCAAGAGAGAGTCAGAAGTTATGGACTGACCACGAAGGGAAAGGAATAAGAAGCTAAGGACTAATTCCAAAATGAGAATTAAAAGTTAAGAATTAATCTCAAGATAGAGTCGGAAGTTAAGGACCAACCTCGAAAGGAAAGGAATCAGAAGTTAATGACTGATTCCAAAATGAGAATTGAAAGTTAAGGATCAATCTCAAGAGAGAGTCAGAAGTTATGGACTGACCACGAAGGGAAAGGAATAAGAAGCTAAGGACTAATTCCAAAATGAGAATTAAAAGTTAAGAATTAATCTCAAGACAGAGTCGGAAGTTAAGGACCAACCTCGAAAGGAAAGGAATCAGAAGTTAAGGACTGATTCCATAATGAGAATTGAAAGCTAAGGATCAATCTCAAGAGAGAGTCAAAAGTTATGGACCGACCTCAAAAGGAAAGGAATCAGAAGTTAAGGACTGATTCTGAAATGAGTGTTAAAAGTTAAGGACTAATCTCAAGAGAGAGTCGGAAGTTAAAGACCGACATCGAAAGGAAAGGAATCAGAAGTTAATGACTGATTCCAAAATGAGAATTGAAAGTTTAGGATCAATCCTAAGAGGCAGTCAGAAGTTAAGGACCAACATCAAAGAGAAAGGAATCAGAAGTTAAAAGTTTATTTCAAAATAAAAATTGAAAGTTAAGGTTGAATCTCAAGAGAGATTCAAAAGTTAAGGACTGACCTTGAAGGGAAAGGAACCATAAGTTAAGGATCGACTTCGAAGGGAAAGGAACCCGAAGTTAAGAATTAATTTGATTCCAAAACGAGAATTGAAAGTTAGGAGTTAATCTGAAGAGAGTGTCAGAAGTTAAAAACCGACCTCGAAAGGAAAGGAATCAGAAGTTAAGGATTGATTCCATAATGAGAATTGAAAGGTAAGGATCAATCTCAAGAGAGAGTCAAAAGTTATGGACCGACCTCAAAAGGAAAGGAATCAGAAGTTAAGGACTGATTCTGAAATGAGTGTTAAAAGTTAAGGACTAATCTCAAGAGAGAGTCGGAAGTTAAAGACCGACATCGAAAGGAAAGGAATCAGAAGTTAATGACTGATTCCAAAATGAGAATTGAAAGTTTAGGATCAATCCTAAGAGGCAGTCAGAAGTTAAGGACCAACATCAAAGAGAAAGGAATCAGAAGTTAAAAGTTTATTTCAAAATAAAAATTGAAAGTTAAGGTTGAATCTCAAGAGAGATTCAAAAGTTAAGGACTGACCTTGAAGGGAAAGGAACCATAAGTTAAGGATCGACTTCGAAGGGAAAGGAACCCGAAGTTAAGAATTAATTTGATTCCAAAACGAGAATTGAAAGTTAGGAGTTAATCTGAAGAGAGTGTCAGAAGTTAAAAACCGACCTCGAAAGGAAAGGAATTAGAAGTTAAGAAGTGGTTCCAAAATGAGAATTGAACATTAAGAATCAATCCCAAGAGAGAGTCGGAAGTTAAGGACCAAACTCAAAAGGAAAGAAATCAGAAGTTAAGGATTGATTTTGAAATGAGATTTGAAAATTATGTATCAATCTCAAAAAGAGAATTAGAAGTTAGGGACTGATCTCAAAGCGAGTGAATCAAAAGTTAGGGACTGATTCCGAAAAGAGAATTGAGATTCAAGGATCAAATCTCAAAAAGAGGATTAAAATTTAGGGACCGACCTCAAAGCAAGGGAATGATAAGTTAAGGACTGATTTCAAAATGAGAATTGAAATTTAAGGATCAAATCTCAAAAAGAGGATCGGAAGTTATGGACTGACCTCAAAGCGACGGAATCAAAAATTAGGGACTGATTCCGAAACGAAACGAGAATTGAAATTTAAGGATTAAATCTCGAAAAGAGGATCGGAAGTTAGGGACAAACCTCAAAGCGAGGGAATCAAAAGTTAGGGACTGATTCTAAAACATGATTGAAATTTAAGGATCAAATCCTAAAAAGAGGCTCAAAAGTTAGGGACTAACCTCAAAGCGAGGAAATTAGAAGTTAGGGATTGATTGAAAAATGAGAATTGAACTTTAAGGGCCAAATCTCAAAAAGAGGATCGAAAGTTTGGGACCGACCTCAAACCAAGGGAATCAGAACCAAGGGAATCAGAAGTTAGGTCAGAAGTTAGGGACTGATTCCAAAACAAGAATGAAAATTTACAAAGAGTTTGTAGTGTTAAACCCAGAGATATGTGTTATGTGAAAGGTTGACACTATTGAGGAAGATATGTGAAATTTTGGGAGATTTAGTGCAGACAAGGATGGTCGTGCTACGCGAGCAAAGAGTAAAATACCCAGAAGTCGAGAGAATCAACTCAACAGATTTATTTTCTTTTATTGTTATTTTTAACATGTTTAGTTTTCAAAATATGTTTTTCCAAAATTTTTTATTTTTTTTTGTTGATTGATTTTTTTTGAAAAAAGAGAGTTTTTTTTGTTATATTTATTTTTAAATTATATTATCATCAATTTTTTGTTGTTTTGTTCTTTGTTCATTGTAATCTCATACCAACGTATGGTTCTTGGCTTTTATCCACTGCACCAAAAAGGAAAAATTGAGCAAACAGACAAAATTCTTAAAGAGATTTCATCAATCAGCTCAAATAAATGTTACAGATTAAGTTTAGGCTAAGGCCTCAAAAAGTACAATTATGTTGACTGCATCAAAGTACATCCAAAAATATCACATGCCAAATACATGTCATAGGTTGAGCATGCCAAATGCCTATCATGTCTGCTGTGATGAGAATGCAGTAAAAAGGAATCCTCTGAGTGTCTGCCTTTAGTGAGGCAAGCTCCTGATCGAGCTGACCTTCTAAGCCACGCTCCAGGACAGAAGTTCCCTTAAGTACAGAAGTTCCCTTTGCATGTGCTTAGAGGTGCAACCCTCTCATAGCTACTATGACAGTAGTTCTTCTAATTACGGGTCCGATAGGAATCCATATGGCATTTTTTTGTTATCCATCCTCCGGAAAGTTACAGACACCCTACAGTGTCGCACCCTTGGAACACAGTGTTTGGCGACGCCTGCTCCGTTTCCTTTAACAACAAGCACCGAACCAACAGGTAGCAAAATTTCCACGGCTCCTCTGAATTTTCCAGGGCCAATGATATCTATTTCTTTTCCAAATAAGATATTTCTCTTGCTTATGAATGAGACCGTGCAGAAAGGCCTCACAAAGTCATGATGTTCAATGTGTAGAGGTATGTTGTCTCCTTCATCACATATGTTGATAATGTAGCTCTTGGGAATACAATCAGCTGGCAATATGCTCCATCGGACCATTCTTTTCATCATCCACTTTATCATGGGGGGTAGCGGATCCACCTGATCATGTCTCAGAATCCAAGCAGGATTTCGTTGTCTATCATTAGTGAAGGATTTCCTTTCCTCGCATCCACTTTCTTGGCTCAGAATAGGTTCCTTCCATCAGCAGGCCTGCTCGACCATTGTCTCTTGAATTAAAAATGCTATCGAGAATGTTTTGTTCATTGCTCTCAGAGAAGACCTTTGTATATATCTCCAATCCTTCTAATATTTTGATAAACCTTCCTTGCACTTCTTCGTAGAATTCAAAATTCTTTTTGCCTACCTTACTCATCCTGTAGTATTCTGTTGTACTAATGATCGGTGGCTGTCGGAGATGTTACCTTATTTCAACATCGAAGGGAATCTAGGTGGTGTTGTCTCTATCTATAGTGGAATCTATGACTCTGCGTCTGACAGAATACATAGCTCTATACCCAATGGAACATATGATTTTGCATCAATTGAGTAATCAGCTGCCTGAAATCCATCATTGGATGATACATATTTTTCTAAACTACTATAGCGCTCAAGGTGGAGGACATTGCAGTCCGGGCACTTCACGAATGCCCCTGTAGCTGACGTACCTGCAGTTATCTTGGCGTTGCAGGTCAGGCAACCCGTACAAAAAGCATCTGAAGCTGGTGGTATTTCTAGCTCTGTATCAAATCCGGACTCATCGTCTATAGCAGATAGACTGGAAGATGTCTCTCTCATGCCCAGATCATAGATATTCCCCTCAGAGATAGGGATGAGCAACTTCTTTGCCTCTTTCTAGCATCTCCTCTCCTCGCGTAGAAAAGCCCTATGTTTTTTTGCGGCTAGCGTTTCTACGCTGAGTCCTCCTTAGCGGCGCATCAGGAAGTCCTTCATTATCAGCAACGACTAGGCCTCCGGTCGGCATAGCTATCATGGACGGTAGGCGAATGGTCCCCGTTGGGTCTTGTTGTACTGTTACATTTTTCCATTTTAGTGAGGAACTATTTCTGGTGCTGAACCTTAGCAGTGAGGGTAGCCTTTCTTTTTCCGGACGGCTGACCACATCCATTAGAGGACCCTCATAATCCATGTTAACTTGACTAAAGACCATGTCAAAGTCTATGGTGTCGCCCTGCGCACGCCTGGCGGCGCCCTTTCCTCGTTGAGTGTTAGGTTTCAGCCATATTTAAAAGCAAATATCAACCTCTGGCCTGACATTTCTCTACAAACGATGGGAAAAATAACAGGGAGCTGAAACTTAGTGTGAACAAGATCAAAACAAAATATTTATTAAAGAAAATTTTTAGTTTAATTTTGTGAGAAAACCATTTATTTTTATATGTATTTTATTTAATTTAGTAGAGTACCAAGTTTAAAAAAGAAAATTGAAATGTGCAATTTCAAAAATTTTCATTATGTTGAGGTTAATTTCATTACAAAATTTTGGCATTACAAAATTTTGGACCCGGTCACAGACATTTGGATTTGGCCAAATAGATAACCCCAGAACAATTTAAATTTCAAAATTTCAAATTAAGCGATGTCAAGCAAAGTCAAGTTGCGTAGTATGTCTTCAGGTATCATCCATTGATCGACAACATGGATCTTTAACCACGGAAAATCTTTAACCATGGAAATCTACTAACTGGTAGGCTCTAACTGTGTAGACCTTTTCTACGATAAATGGTCCTTTCTAAGTTGGCTCGAATTTTTCACCTACCTTGCAGCAAGCTAGAATGGGTCTTTTGAGCACGAGGACAAGGTCACCAACTTTGAATGTCCTTGGACGGACCAATTTCTATTGAGCTTGTACCATCTTTGCTTGGTAAAGCTCCAAATGTTATTGTGATTCTAGTTTTTTTCCCTCAAGACTCTTTAGCTCTTCAAGTCTGAATTTTGTATTTTCTTCTGTTGTAAGCTAGTTGGTGACAATGATTCTGAGAGACGGTATCGGAACTTCTACCATTAGTACGACCTCGGACACGTACACGAGCATGTAGGGTGTGCATTAAGTGGCAGGTACCATTAGTACGACCTCGGACCCGTACACGAGCATGTAGGGTGTGCATTAAGTGGCAGTCTTGAACGTTATCCGATAGGCCTACAAGGCTTCTAATAATTTGTTGTGCCAATCTCTTTTATTTTCATCCAGTATTTTCTTTAAAATTGTACTAACATTTGTCGAAGGCTTCAACCAGGCCATTTGCTTTGGGATAATAAATTTTAGAGTATCTCTAATCAATCCCGTACCCTTTAACAAAATTATTGATTTTGATGCTTTTAAAGGCTATCCCATTATCAAAAAATATTCTTTGCGGTACTCCGAAATGATTGACGATTTGGCTTTTGAAGAATTGAAGGAAGTGTTGTGCCGTAACCTCTTGTAACGGTATTGTCTCTGCCCATTTGGTGAAATAATTTGTAGTGAAAAGTATAAATCTGTGCCCATTGGAGGATGGAGGGTCTATCGGACCTATTATGTCCGTGCCCCAACACTTGAATCGCCACGAGGTGACGGTTGGGTGCAACACATTCGGAGGTTGGTGTAAGACCACCCCATGAACCTTGCACTGGTGACATCTTGTATCCATGCAGTAGGACATCATTGCTGGCCAATAATATCTGGGTCTTTTAATCTTCAGTTTCATCTTCAGCCCTAACTGGTGAATGCCACACAATCTGGCATGTACTTCTTTGACAATATTATATGCTTCTATTTTTTTTAAACATCGTAGTCACATATGGTCGAACAATTTCCTTATAGGACGTGACCTACTAGAGTGTATGACATAGCCCTTTCTGTAATGTGATGTGCTTCAGACTTATCTTCTGGTATCTTTCCAGTATGCAAATATTCTATTAATGGCTTGCGCTAATTTTCATTGATGTCTGCAACCACAATCATCATTTCTTCTTCTTTCCGAAGCTTGTGTAGGGTTTCAAGGTCGTTCTCGGTTTCAAAATCATGTATTGTCCGGCGACTTACTAGATGACGAGTTGTGAGTAATCATAGATGGAAATTTCTGTTATATCCATTGAGATTGCCAATTCTAATCTGATGAGTAAGGCCTCATATTCTGCTTCATTGTTGGTACATGGCTCTGTCAGATGGTATGAGAACCTCAGCATACCCTTATCTGGCGTGATAAAGAACAAACTAATACCTGCTTTGCCTGGTATAACTGTGCCTGATCCCTTTCCTTTCAGGCTGATGAAGTTCCGTCAAAGTACATTTCCCATCGTTGCACACTGGAGAATTTCATTTGAAGAACTTGCTCATCTGGTGGTTCATCATTAAGAGGGGACCCAGTTGGAAGTGGGTGTGCAGCGACAAAGTCTACTAAAATGTATCCATTGATAGCATAAAGGGGAACAAAAGTTAAATTAAATTGTAATAAAATCATTGACCATCTTGCTAGATGTCCGGAGGGTGTTGGTCGGGTCATCAAATATTGCAACGGATTAACTTTTGAGATTAGGGTAATCTTATGAGAAAGCATGTAATGTCTAAGCTTTTGGGCTGTGAAAATCAAGGCTAGATAAGGCTTCTCAATAGCTGGATACCTTATCTCCATCGGTATTAGGTCGCGACTCAAATAGTAGAGTGTGTTTTCTTTACCCTCGTCATTGACTTGGGCTAAGAGGGCACTAAGAGAGTCTTCTAAGGCTGCGATATAAAGTATCAAAGGTTTCCCTGGGATAGGGGCTGCCAAAACAAGAGGTGTCATTGAATACTGTTTAACATCCTCAAATTCCCACTGGCATTTCTCTTCCAAAATGAATTTGGCATTCTTTTTAATTAATGCTGAGAAGGGTTGACACCTACCTGAGAGATTAGAAATAAAGCGTCTCAGATTTGCCGACCTTCTTTGGAAGGAATGTAGTTGTTTCAAAGTTCTGGGTGGAGGCATTTCTAAGATAGTTTTAATCTTATCAGGGTTGATCCCGATTCCCCAATGATGGACAATGAATCCTAGAAATTTCTTAGAGGTAACGCCAAAGACACACTTTAAGGGATTCATTTTAAGGATATATCGTCGTAACCGTTCGAACACATTCCTCAAATCGTACAAATGGTCTATTTTTTTCTTAGTTTTGATGGCCAAAACATCCATGTAACATTCCACTTAGTTGTGAATGAGGTCATAAAAAAGCTTTATCATTGCACGTTGATATGTTGCTCTAGTGTTCTTTAGGTCAAATGACATTACTATGTAGCGAAAAATTCCGATCGGTGTTCTGAAGGCTGTAAATGCTGCATCTTCGGAAGCCACCTTGATTTGATTGTATCCCGATGATCTGTTTATGAAGGAGAAACTTCATGTGTTGAAGCGATATGTCGGCACTATTTTTGGTGTGGAGTTTGCCCGTAAGAAGCTATCGGTCATCGGAATTGAAATCCCGTTGCCCGCTTCGGAAGGAGTATTTTTCCATTTTTCTTCTTAACTGGGACAATGTTAGCTAAACAAGTGGGGTACAGCTCTTCTTTTACAAAGTTAGAGTCTATATTAGCGTCTCGTAATTTCTTCACCTCAACGATGACTTCCTGCACTATTTTGAGGCGCATTCTTCTTGGGGCTTGCTTTACTGGGGTCATATCTTTATCTACCCCGAGTTTATGAACTATAGCCTTTGCTAACAGTCCTGACTTTTCATCATAGCTCCATGCAAAGCAATCTTTAAATTTTGTTAACAACCTAATCAATTACAAAGATTCTTCATTGTTAAGTATAAAACTTATAAATGTAGGCCAGGGTTGCTCTTCATTCCCGAGGTTAATTTCCTTGAATTCATCGATAGTTGATTTAATTTCCTCCTCAAATTCTGGCAGAGCATCTTCTTTTAGTTGTTGATTAGTAGAGTCATCCGTAGAGTCATCCTCTATATCAAGGCAATCCTCTTCCTATTCAACAGTAACTATCATACAAAATTCTGAATCATCGACTGGTTTGACTGGTACCAAATCCGGGACCCTCTTTTGAGTTGGGAGTTCGACTTTT